TCATCATTTTAGCCTTGACTGTTAAATAATTGCATTTTTTGATTAATTTTGTCAGCTGAAATATTTAACGTAAAATATTGAGCTTTTTTTGAATATTGGTGAACTGGTTTTAAGGGCACCAAATTTAGTACGTGTTTTTTAGTAGTACAAGTTGTATTTTGAATTTGACATGTTGTAGAGAATAAATCTTCCCTTACTTTGACATGGTGAATATTAGTTTGGGGGCTTAAATTATAAACAGTGCCACCTGAACCAACCAATAATCAAAACGACGACTGGTCGCGACTACGACCAACAACATTTTTATTCTTAAATTTGACATTCTAATAGTCATTTATGCCAAAGAAGAGTGAGCGGTTGAATAATGGGCGTCCACCACCTTACCTCGAGGAATTTGTTACTGGAAGTTTATCTGACGATTCAAACGACGACAAAGACTTGGATGTAACAATCAAAATGGAAGATTCTAGGGTTACATCACTTTTGGAAGGACTTACGAATCAGATTACATTGATGCAAGCACAGCTGATGCAAAATACAGAGGTACAGACAAGGATGGAAGAGAAGAATAATGAACTTCATCAGAAGCTGGAAGCTACAAATCGACAATTAGCTGAAGTTCAGCGAACGATGAAAATTGAAGTCCCTCCTACAACTCGATCATCAGCTATACTGAATAATACAGTCCCAGTAACATTACCTGCACAGCTTGATACGCCTTCGCCTTCGATAACTCCGACAAGAAATTCTACGCACCAACAGTCAACACCTTCATGTTCAATTCCTAGTTTTTCTGTTTACCCAAATAACCCTGTATATTGGCAACAGCATCCATCGTTACCTGTCAGAAAGTATTTAGTAGCATTACCAAAGTTTGATGGAAATCCTTGCGACTGGCTGGTTTTCAATGCAGAGTATAAAAGAACTACGACAGAGTTTGCATATACTTCTTCAGAAAATACAACGAGACTAAACAGTAGTTTGCAAGGGAAAGCTCGTGAGCTTGTTCAGTGGTTATTAATTCACGACGACATGGCGGAGAAGATCATGGAGAGATTGTATAGCAGGTTTGGTCGACCAGAACTTTTAGTGGACGCACAAATTACTATGTTGAAGAACATTCCCGGAATCTGTGAAAATAATGTGGGACAGATTATTCCTTTTGCTGACAAAGTGATCAACTTTAGTCACTTTATGTTAACTTGTTCTAGTCAACATCAGCTTGCCAATCCCACACTGCTTAATGAGTTGATCTTAAAGCTCCCAATGAATATGAGAATTGCATGGGCCTCTCATATTAGTTCACTGACTGGTGTCCCGTCTATATTAGATTTTAGTAACTGGATTGAAGTTAAAGCCGACAACATAGCCAGAGTTCCTGTGTGCAATTCTTTGATTTCTCCGACAGAGAAAAAGACGACACCCAAGAAATATCAAATGCTTCACACTTCCAACGTTACAAGTAAGAAAGAAATGAACTGTGTCTTATGCGAAAAGAACCATTTCATCGCTAACTGCCCGGATTTTTTGAATAAATCTACAGATGATAAATGGAAGTTAGTAACAGAAAAGAAATTGTGTTTTTCTTGTTTGAAATTTGGACATTCTACTAGAATGTGCCGCATTAGAAAGTCTTGCAATAAGAATGGATGTAACAGAGTTCATCATCCTCAATTACACAGTGAATGTCAAGATAATAAATATACGCCAACGGTTTTAAATATGGAAGTATGGAGACCACTGTAGTTCTGAAGAAACTGAAAGGAGACCACTGTAGTTCTGAAGAAACTGAAATCGTTAAATTTAATATATCTGGAATCCATAACAATGCCGAAGTGTTTGAGATGAGGAATGTGTGTACCGTAAACAATCTTTGTCTTCCAATGCAAACTGTAGACATGAATCAGCTTCATTCCAAATATGACTACTTACAAAATCTTCCTATTGCCAGCTATACTGACGCCCGACCAGAACTATTAATAGGATTGGACTTTTGTCATTTGGGATTATCGAACAGAAAGATTCAACAAACATCAAATGGACCTATTGTTGCAGAAAGTCCTCTTGGTTGGATAGTTTATGGAAGAACAGTTGACAATGAGATACAATCAATTCCAGGAAGAATGTTTCATGTGAGAGGGTACTTTGACGACATCCATTCTATTGTAAAAGACTATTTTACCACTGAAAACTTTGGTGTTGAACTATCAACAACACCAAGAGAGTCTTCTGAAACGGTTCGAGCGCGTCAACTGTTGGAATCAACAACAAAAAAGGTCAAAGGTCGTTATGAAAGTGGTCTATTATGGAAAAACGATGACATAGTTTTACCAGATAGTTACCCAATGGCAGTCAGTCGATTGAGAAATGTTGAAAACAAGATGAAAAAAGAACCTGTTTACGGTATGAAGTACAAGGAAACTATTGTCAGCTACGTGCAGAAAGGATATGTTCGTAAATTGTCATCTGAAGAGGTTGTTGAAATTACTCCACGGACTTGGTATTTACCACATTTCGGTGTACTGAATCCAAATAAGCCTGGAAAATTCAGACTTGTATTTGATGCCGCGGCTAAAGTTGGAGAAACATCCCTTAATTCATCATTGTTGACAGGTCCAGATCTAAATCAGCCACTCCTCACGGTTTTATCTAAATTTCGTGAAGGTCAAGTTGGGGTATGTGCTGACATCAAGGAGATGTTTCACCAGGTGATAATTCGTGAAGAAGACCAAAACTCTCAACGATTTTTATGGAGAAATGATAAAACTGGCGAAATTGAGGTATATAAGATGTTAGTTATGATATTTGGATCCACATCTTCACCGACAACAGCTCAATATGTCAAAAACTTTCATGCAACACAGTATCTAGAAAGTCATCACGAAGCGGCCAAAGCAATTATTGAACGACATTACGTTGACGATTACGTTAATAGCTTTCACACCGATGAACAGGCAATAACTGTATCCATGATGGTTAAAAATATTGAGATGGCTGGTGGTTTTGAATTACGAGGTTTTATATCAAATTCAAGAAAGGTTACTTCGATCTTGAATCAGGAACAAGGTGATCAACTATATCAAGTGGATATGAACTTGGACAAATCCCCTACATGTGATAAGATACTGGGCATGGTATGGGACACATCCACTGACGAGTTCAAATTCAACTTGAAGTTTAATCGTTTAGAATCGACAGTAATCACTTGTGAAAGAATTCCAACAAAGAGAGAATTTTTAGCGATTGTCATGTCAGTATATGATCCGTTCGGATTCTTAGCGGATTTTCTTGTATACATGAAGGTACTCTTGCAACTTGTATGGAGGTCTGGTGTAGAATGGGATCAACCAATACCTACACATCTTTACGAGCGATGGTGTGCATGGAGTCGAGAATTAACAAAGGTTAGTCAATTTCGTATTACACGTTGTTACTCAAAGGGACTGCGGATGCCAAAAGCTGTTGAACTTCACATATTTGTAGACGCGAGTGAAGTCGCTTTTTCAGCAGTGTGCTACCTTCGAGTTACTTCGCAAAATGAAGTTACAGTATCATTCGTCATGGGGAAAACTAAATGCGCACTTGTCAAATACCTTTCCATCCCAAGGCTCGAATTGCAGGCAGCAATTCTTGGAGTTAGAATGTATAAAACTGTTTTGAGATCTCACAGTTTTGTTATTTCAAAATCGACATTTTGGAGCGATTCGAAAACTGTACTTCATTGGATCAAGGATGACATAAGAAAATACAAGACATTCGTTGCTAATAGAGTGGGTGAAATTTTGGATTCAACAGAACCCACTCAATGGAACTGGGTTTCAACACATGAAAATGCTGCTGATGATGCGACACGTGACATTTATCCACCTCAGTTCAAACCTAATCGAAGGTGGATAAACGGACCAGAATGGTTGAAGCAAGACAAAAGTAAATGGCCTCATCAAACAGATTGTCATGTAGTAAATGATGAAGACCTAGAACTACAACCACCAAAACATGTAGTTATGATGATTCGTGAAAATATGATTCAATTTAACTTTGCAAATAGCTCGAGTTATTTCAAAGTTTTACGTACAGCTGCTTGGATGATACGTTTTGTAAAGAATTTAAAAGCTAAAGCTTCCAACATGAATTTGCATACAGGTGAACTAAAAGTTGAGGAAGTAAGACAGGCTGAAATTTTGATATTCCGAACTGTACAGATGGAAACTTTTCACGAAGAATACGATTCACTGACTAATCGTGTTCCTATCAGCAAATCAAGCGATATATATAAGTTGACACCAGCTTTGGATGAAGATGGGATTATTAGATTAAATGGACGAATTGACAACGCTCCTACATTACCAATGAGGACCAAGCGACCTATAATTTTACCAAAACAACATCCAGTCACAAAACTTGTCATCAGTCATTATCATCGTTTATATCACCATCAAAACGAAGAATTGATCATTTGTGAAATTCGGCGAAAATTTTGGATTAACGATTTACGTGTTTTAGTAAGGTCATCTAAACGCCAATGTCAGCAATGTAAAAATGAAGCAGCTCAGCCAGAGGTGCCACAAATGGGACAGTTACCACTAGATCGCCTAACTCCAAACATTTGACCGTTTACGTACACCGGACTAGATTATTTTGGACCTGTTCATGTTACAATTGGAAGAAGACGTGAAAAGAGGTGGGTGGCATTATTTACTTGCTTGACGATTCGTGCAGTACATCTCGAAATTGCACAAGACTTATCGACAGATTCTTGTATCATATGCCTCCGAAACTTTATGAATTTGAGAGGAGTTCCAGTTAGAATCCGATCAGACAACGGATCTAATTTCCTCGGAGTGAAGGGTGAGTTGATGACAGTTGAAAATTTGTATAATAAAGATGCCATAATATCTGAATCCACAATGAAAGGAATTGAATGGCTGTTTAATTGTCCTTCCAATCCATCAGCGGGTGGATGTTGGGAGCGACTAGTGCGATCTATTAAAAGAGTTCTCAAACATTCGTTAAAGGAAGTAGCTCCGAGGGTTGAGACATTACGCAGTTACTTGCTTGAAGCAGCAAACATGGTGAACTCTAGACCATTGACTCATGTACCTGTGTCAGCATTAGAAGAACATCCATTAACACCAAATTCTTTCTTAATTGGAGATACAAATGTTATACAATCACCTTATACGCCAGACGAAAAATTATGGACGTTTCGAAAGCAATGGAGAGTGGCAAATGCTTTAAAAAATCATTTTTGGCGTAGGTGGATAAGAGAATATTTACCTATACTAACCAGGAGAACAAAGTGGTTTGAAAAGAAGGAGCCGATCAAAGTAGGAGATCTAGTAATCATTTGTGAAGACGATGTTCATCGAAAACAATGGATACGGGGAATAGTAGAGAAAGTTTTTCCTGGTAAAGACGGTCAAGTACGGAGAGCAGAAATACGAACAAATGATCGACTTCTTCAGAGACCTGCATCTAAGCTTGCAGTTCTGGATGTCATTAGTAAATCAACCCAGTAATTGATTTACGGGGGTTGGAATGTTGCAGATCATCATTTTAGCCTTGACTGTTAAATAATTGCATTTTTTATTAATTTTGTCAGCTGAAATATTTAACGTCAAATATTGAGCTTTTTTTTGTATATTGGTGAACTGGTTTTAAGGGCACCAAATTTAAATAAATCTTCCCTTACTTTGACATGGTGAATATTAGTTTGGGGGATTAAATTATAAACAGTGCCACCTGAACCAACCAGTACCTAATCAAAACGACGACTGGTCGCGACTACGACCAACAACATAAGGGGTTAAAATGCAAAATGCACCATTGCTCCCCCTCCGCGCCCGTGTTTTCCTGCTTTGCAGTTCCTGCCCACCATTCACTCTTACATGTTTTAAAAATTCATAAGCATTCATAAGAAGTTATAATTAACACGTTTTATTTAACCCCCTTGTGAGTACGATACTGTTGCAAAAAAATAAGAATATTGTGTAAACAACGTTATGTAAACGTTACTTCGGTCTAAACACCAAAAATAATGGGACACCCTGTATATGAGAATTTATTAAGTAAATCTGTGGGATTATTTACGACGTAAGCACAGATTTGGTTCGTTTTATTTGAATTTGTTATCTCGGTGTCTATTTTTCCTTTTAGAATTGTATGTAATTGCGTATTATTTTCTTGTTTTAATTTTGTGGCTTTTGCAATTTATTCAATTGAGATAAGGTGCTAGAAGTAAGACACATCTGATCAAATTTGAGTGCTTTATAAAAGGTTTTATCTGGTCATTGCGATAAGGAGTTTTATCAAGCGCAAATTAATTACCGCACGTGTTTTGATTTTGGTGCTGACAACGAAGACGCAGGTGCTTCAAAAAATTGCACATTTGATATTGGAGAAGTGGGGGGCGTTTGATGCGTTCCGTAGTCGATTGACGACGTTTAAAAGAAGGACTTTATTTTATGGTGGATGTGGTGTTTCCTTAAATGCTAGAGACAACGAGAAAACGAAGCTGCTGCTGCTTTCCGTGACTGTTCAAAAGCGTGCACATCTGTTTACGCTAAATTATTTTTATTTTAAATTATTAAAAACATAAAATTAACAAAACACGGAGAAAGCTTAATTTTACTTACAGTATTTTATTAATTAATAATAACCACCCCCATATCATCCTGGACCTAAACATCAACGTTTCAAACCGACATTGTTTACACAGCAATATATAAAATTCTGTGCAGAAGCAAGTTAACCAAAGTTGTGTGAGAAGTTTAACGCGTGTTATGCGATTACGGAAAAAGGCTTGTCGAGTTGAAAAACGAACCAGTGTAGTACAGCGAGACTTTTTGTAAAGGTTCTCTTCTTATTAAAAGTTAAAAGTCTCTACCATCCGATCAGCCACCGAAAATGTGTCATCATTTTCATCAAACCAGTTTTGTTAGTCATCTAATTCTGTGTGGCCATATTATTTGGATTATTAAAGCAAAAGTGTAACTGGAAGTAAGTTTAATGTTCCTTATTTTATTTTTCGACAGCTTGCGTGCGGGGTAAACTGTCCAAATGCGCTTTGCAAGCCGTTCTTTCTTTTAGGGACTTTGTTTAAATTTTGTTTCATTGTTTTTTTGGAATAAATTTTTGTTATTGTCCCTGAATTAATTGTGTTTATTCGAATCCAAAGTGCGACCCAGAAAGTTTTCTTGTAACATTTTTTTTCTATTCGTCCCAAGATTTATTTCAGGTGTTCCTTGAAATTTTTGGAATTTCTCAAAATTGAGAAATTTTAATCAATATTAAAATTTCTCTCATACAAATATCGGATGTGTACGAGGAGAGATTATGAAATTCTACGTTTCAATTTTGATTTTTTTGAACTATCTGGAAAGGTGTTTTGTGGGTGTTTTTTGCATTTAGAGAAGGTGATTTGGTTGTAATAAAGAATTTAAGAATCGAGGATGGTCCTAAGCAACTAAGAGCTGGCTCCCCGGCCCCGTGGGGAATCGAACCCCGGTCTCCCGCGTGAAAGGCGGAGATACTAACCACTGTACTGTCAAGGATTATTTATTTGGTACCCGAAACGTGAGGTAAATGAGGGAAATGCAAAATTTAGGTCAAATTTGCTAATTTAATTTCAAATTACGGAAGCTTTTGTGTTACAGTTAATTTAGCTTTCGTAGCCAGACAGGATTTCTTACATGATTAATAAAATTACAGGGATTCAAAATTTGATTGTTTTTTAATTCTTTTTTTAGAGAAACTAATTCGTGCCGGCGCGGCGCGGCGGTTGGGTTTTGAATTGAGACACAGGCTAAGATTCCTTTCACTTTTACATAATTATTTAGGCAATTTATCAAAAAAATGTGACATATTTTTTTAATTTCAAAGGCTGATCTCCTAAACAAGTTACAGCTGGGAATAGTCGAAGCTACATAATGTCCACTGATGCCAAAAAGAAGGAGTTCAGGTGCCACCAACAGGTCGTCATTTCGAACATTTATTGCTAGATTTGCTAACTCCTTTGTTCGTGTATCATGTTCACTTTAGTAGTAAATCTAGCCTACATTTTCAATAAACATCAATGTTAACCATATTTTTTTGAAATCGCATGCTTGGTTTCGGGAAAGAATTTTTTTACAAATTAGCGTTTCGACTTTTTTTTCACTGAATCTTATGTAATTTACGGATTTTTTTGTATCCGTGGAAATGTTGTAGTTTCGGCTATCCAGAGCTATAATTTGTTTAGGGGGGCACCTTTTGAAACTTGGCAATTGGGGAAGATCAATTAAAAATTTTATTTTTCCGATTAGACACCTAAAAAAATTATGTGACAGTGGAAGAGGTCTTAGCCCGTGCTTCAATTAAAAACCACCGCCGCGCCGGCGCAGTTTAGTTTCTCTCAAAAAAATAATTCGAAAAACGTTCGAAATCGTTGAATAAAAAAATAAGTACCTACTCTTCAAGTACTTTCCTATTCTTCAATAAAATATGGTGGGTTCCGTTCCAAAAAACGCCACTGGAATAAATTGGCGACGTTATAGTGCACAAATTTGCTCCTACACTTTTTTTTGATATGTTTTATGTCGAACTCAATCTTTCTGAGCTTTGAGTCGGAAAACCATCTTAATAAGAAGCGGGCAGTTTCCGAAATTTTATTTTATTGTCCTATTTAAAAGGTATCTGTTAATCCGTTTGTGTGTTAACCATTACTTTTATTTGCCGTTTACCATAAATCTCCTATGAAATTTCAGAAGTGCGTACCAGTACATATCCAATAAATAAATTAGTTTGCAATGTTCTAACAAACAAGTTGTAAATCAGCATATGCATGATGAAAGCGCATTTTTGGTAATGCAGATCAGTATTTCATTAGCAAAGTTTAAAATTATCGATCTCACGAGTAATCTAACTGAAAATAGATATAGAAATAGAGCCTGCACTAACACAAGCTTTCAGTGAAAATTTACAGTCTCTAGCAATTGTACTTGCTGAGATCTCAGCCGGACTGCCAGCCAGCCATAACGAATATAATAGCGTATTTTTTCCAAAAATGAAACAAGAAAAACCGGCCCTTAATGTGACCATCTAGAAATATCTTAAGAACATTAAACAAAAAAGAATACATCCAGTTACAAAAAAAGTAGAAAAGTAGTTCATAGCTGTTTATTCGCATGTCCCAAACTTTGTCTATGAAATGAGAGTGAGAGGTATACCTTGCGGTTATATGAGGCCGCACGATACTACCTATGTGTAATTTCCAACTGTCCCATTGTAGGTACATACATTAAATGAACCACAAGGGAGCAGTTTGAAAACGAATGTACGACGTTATTAAAACCGAGAATTGCAATCTCGCAAACGAAGACTAAGTGACGAAGGGCAACGTTTGCGTTATGTTTCCGTGTTCTATACACGGTTTAGATAAATGTCAAAAATTTACATCCGTCTTTGTGTTCCTTTTGGTCCATCATATATTATTTAGAGCACTCGCAGGTTACAGCACGTCTAAAATTTTTAGATAGATTATATGTCGTGGGACTGCGCCCTACACTTCTGTTCTTCACACAGGACAATATAATGCTGAAACAAGCCGTGAGTGGTGTATTAAAGCTATGAAACAAAATGTCGCAAGTCAAAAACGTAAATAGGACAAGATAAAGAAGTCACAGGACACTAAAACACGAAACAAATCTTTCCTTCGAAACTCCTATAAATGTCCACATGAAGGAGTTCGTTAGTGATTTCTCAATCGTGTGTTTAAAAATTAGGGAATGCCAATTTGTAAACAGTAAACTGGGAATGGCTTATTTATTTATATGTAAAAGTTAAGTCGATGTTGTCTACATTACAAATATCTATCGGGGGTGGTTGCGCTTGAGTTGGAGTAAATTGTTTATAAATATGGAGCGTGTGTTTATCAATCCATTGTCTTAAAGGAAGGAAATGTGCTACCTCTTTCTTAATACCTATGTTAATTACGTTGATCAAAAAAAGCTGTGGCATATTTTATACATACACTTACCGGGTGTTACATAAAAGTGTATGTCAACATAGTTAAATTAAACACACTGTACATTTTTGTATTTTTTTATCGTCGAAAAGTAATAAGTAATGAACTGAAAATCAAAACCTGGTGCTTTGGTTTCAGATAAATACTCAGGTAAATTGGATTGTATGTATATATAGAATGTTGAAGTATCAATTCTCCCTTTGCATACTTAGAGTTTTAACAGCTAACAAAAGCACTAATTAATCGTCTCTAAACCATTTACCGGTTGCCGTCTAATCCAGAATCTTATTAGCGCCCCGCATAAACAAGATAGACGCACGAATTTGGTTAATAAACTTGTATTATCGTAACTGCAAGTATAGACGCAATGCACGTTTTGTACTACAAAGGTTTCGTGGTAAAATTTATTTAGACGCGATCACGCTGATCCATTAATGTAACTTAACGAAAATGTTTTCACGTAAATATTCCACTTTATATTAGTTTTGCTCGTGATGGCAACTCGCAATGAATTTAAAAGCACACCCGACAATAACTTGACGGCATTATCCCTTGTAATGGGGAAATTAACTTCAATTTTGGCGATAAAAATATTACGCGGCTGTTTAAATCTTCCGTGTGCCCCGACTGTATATTCGTCGTGAAACGTTCAGTTGAAATAAATGTTAAGCGATATAAAATGCCGCGAGCCACTCACCTAGATCTAGATTCGCTTTGAAGGCTCAGCGAAGACTCCCTTTCTCCCACCAATTTTTTTAAATATAGTTGCCGAATCCGGACACAATCAAAACCAAGCTTCGGTCAGTGTTTTTAAAACTTTATAACAGAAAATTTATTCCACATGATCCGTAAGAACAATCTTTAGCACCCGGCAACTCTGTGTTTGACTGTTTGTACACTCGTTTCTTATCTAAAAGCGCTTCATTCTATTGCAATTAGTTGTGTTCTTTTTCGCTATGAAGCGGTACACGTATGGAATTAAGTATAAAGTACCTGATCGTTTACAACGTAGACAATTTGCTGATTTCATTATTCAAGAAGGCGCTGCATTTTTAGACAAACCATCGTTTGTGATGAGGATAATTTTCACCAAAAAGGGTTATGTTAATAAACAAAAAGATCTACCCCTGAGAAAATCCAGCTTCCAGCAAAAGCATAATAACTGATTTATGGCCTAATTTTGATGATATACACTATGTCCAAGATAAGGATGTGTACCATGTGGATCTCGGAAACGATAGGAGATACGAAGATGATCAAATTAGGAAAAAGATACACAATTAAAAAGATCGTGCAGTAAAGAAAACCGGAACACATCGATTACCCCGAAGATGTGAGAGAAAAACCGAAATTGTTTTAATTTTTTTCTGATATTTGAACAGATCCAAAACATTTAATAGACTTTCTCATTGTTTGGTTGCTTATTTATTATCCCTTTCGCAACAGGGTTGCGTTCAATTACAGTGTGGTCCGCATAATTCTTTTTAGAGGTGCCCCTGCAGAAGGTCTTAAGTTGTTCTATACTACTGTGGTATGTTTACCTTACGAATTAGGAAAACTGCGGGAAAATTTAACTTCTGAACGACGAACATGGTACCTTCCTGAGTTGAGTTGCTCTCGGAAAGTCTCATACGCGATTCCAAAAAGGTGGACACAACACACTAAACAACCCAAATGGTCAATGGTGTAACCATACATTTTCCAGTATGGGAACGCTCACCATGTTCTGAGAAATCGGCACGTGACTTTGCGAGAGGTTGCCAAACAGAAAGTCTCTAGGACTACTGTAGACAAGATTTTGACCCATATTCTAAAGTTCACAAGGTGTGCCAGGTGGGTGACGCGGATGTTCCCTGATGAACACAAGAAGCACGTCGAAAGTGCTTGCGAGTCTCTGTGCCGAAGAGGGTGAGGAATTTTTCAACTCGAGACTTGAGGCCAGCCGCCAGGCTTTGGTATTCTGGGACAGGAAATGCGTTCTGCTCATTGCAATCTCAAGGTACTACAAGACACTAACAAAGCTACGCCGGGCTATACAGAAGAAAACTAAGGACCGGTTGACAAATGGATTTTATTTGCACCATGACAACGCCCGCCCTCACGTGGCCCACACCACGAGGGATCTCAGCACCAAATTCAAGTGGGAAATCATTGACCATCCTCCGTACAGCTTTGATTTGGCCCCCAGCATTGAATAAGTAATTGCTTATTCAATGCCTATTCCCGTTGAAAGATTAGTGGATTTTTCACTCAACGCTATTACTGTTCCTTAATTTAATTGTACCGTTTCCTCCCTTGATTACCGATGTCGTTTTTTATACCCTTTGTTAATAACACTGATCCATATCATAGTCTACTCGGAAAAATTTCAACATTTTCACTTGAGCGCTTCCGTAGCAAACCCTTGTCATCCGTTTCACAAACTATAACCCGAGGGGTTACTCTGCAAGAAAGCCCATTCCTCTTATAATGATGTATTATTTTTCATATAACGTTTTTTTTTGTAATCTGAAATTTTGTTATGAACTCGCTGTTTTCTATGCTCTTTCCTGTTATATTGAAATAAATATATAATCAAAAATAACCATCAGCTCATTCAAACGATGATGAGTTTCGTATTGTGTTTCTAATTCTAAATTGTAGGCGTTGTAACGAAAAGGTAAACACACAAACTTCATTCGTGCACCGAAAAAAGTTTTTACTTCTTACTTCAAACAAATCTCATGCTTCTTATTTATTAAAAAAAATCGCACAAACTGAGCGAGTATACTTTAAATACCTGTGAGTACATAATATACATAATTAACAAATTTACTTTACATTGCTGGACAAACATTATTACAAATTCAACAGACTCAAGAGTTTAATCTACGTGTTTACTTTGCATTTACCTGCAAATATTTACATCCGGAAGTACCTACTCCTTGTAAAAACAAGTTCCTTTCAGGATTGCCTTTTACATGGACAAAATGTAAACTGGCGGTTAAGAATCATTTGTTAAGTAGATTTGGGGAGAAACCAAGTCATGTAAAGGGAGCTTAATCAGGCTTTTAATTAAAACAGTAATTATATGCATGGCGCTACTTTTAACTTCTATGAATATTCAACGGTGTAATTTTCCGTTCAAGGTTAAAAGGAAAATGCTTCCGCTTCATCATTTCATCCTGAAGTTTTCTTCTTAGCGTGACACTCTTGCCTTTAGTAACTTATGAAGGATTATCCCATGTAAACTATACACTTACGTACGACTAGATTTATCATTTATTCGACAGTTAAATTAAGCTTCCTTATACCCGTAAAGGTTTTCATCATTTTCTTTGCGATCCTTGGCGTACCCGGAATAATTTTCTCGATATCCCTCTTTTCCCTGTTGATCGCTAAACTTGCTATCGACAACATCATAATGGCCTTTATCATGATCTCCATTTTCACCCTGCTTGGATTCGTGAAAGCCAGCATCATAATGTCCACCCTTTTCAAGTGCCCCACTTTCTCCCTTGCGGTATGAATCGGCGTTTGCATATTTATTAAAATGACCTCGTTTGTCTGATTCATCGTAAAAAGTGTTGTCCTTTTTATATTCATTCTTTTTATAAACTTTATGATAACCTGTTGTTTTAGATCCCTTCCTGTGACCGCCAGATACACTATAACTGCCCCCATTAGAGCTCTTGCCGCCTTCATTCTGGTTACTGAACTTTTCCGCACTTTCGTGATGTCCACTTTTGTCACCCCGTTCGTTGTTGTAATATCCCTTATGGTTTTCATTATCGTGTTTGCCTTGCGATCCTTTGTTGTAGCTTTCTTGGGCGTTGTTTTCCTTTTGCCCAGCATGTCCACGTTGTAGAAAATGCGATCCGCCGTAATCTTCGCCATTATGTAAAACGTATCCGTCTAGGCCTCCGTAACCATAGCGCTTAGGCACATTGTACCCTAGGTGTTCGTACAATTGATAATATGGCTCGTAGTACTGAGGGAAATTGACATTTTCTCCGCCAAATCCTTTGGAAAAGTATGCATAACTCACTGGTCCCGAATTTGAATTATAAGCGTATGCTGTAGATGCCGAATTTTGGTCTTGCACTTCAGCTTCACGAACATAAATTGCTCTTCTTGCAGTGGAAGTGACGATCAATACAGCCAAACACGCTGCAAGTGCACCAAACATTTTGTCTGATGTGACTAACGATCGAATACCAATCGCGTCTATTTTATATCGAACGAGTTTCAGTTTTTGCTGTTATTGCAATATTGCAAATCCGAGGACGATTACTTAATTTCTCTTTGGCGGAAGGTACAACTATTCCATCGATCTGTTCATGAACTAGTAATTAATAACCGTGTATTTTACCGAATAAATTGTGCAAGCTCACCTCGACGTTTTTAGATCTGAAGCTTGCGGCCATCGGAGATGATATACACAAAATTGCAGCTGGTGTCAATGCTGTATACACACGAAGGGCTAAACAACCGAGATGATGAGAAATTTAAATGAAATACGTTACCCTATCTCTGACTTTTAACATAATTTACATTGTTATAATTAAGTTTGTGGTTAGTTTAAATGCGCAAGCAAAGGTCGTTTGTCAACCATAACGTTTGTATGAATAGTGAGCAAGGCAAGAATAGGTACTTGCTTCTAAATTGCGAGACCAACACGTAATCATAAGGTTAACATAAATTAAAGGAACTGGAAGAGTGATTCTGTTAATTACGGCAGAGACCCAAACAGGATTGTGTATAAAGAATTCAACAGTGCCAAAGCTGCCAGCCAGTATTAATTGCATATATGCAAATAAACATAACAAAATGGCAAATGTAATCAGTGCAACTAACCGCTGGACTATACTTCGACCCCCGAAAATCGCCCCAAGAATTGTAGAAACTTCAGTTCAATCACGCGAATAAAAATTCACGTTCACGTTCACAAGAGAAATATAGTGCAAGGGCGAATTTATTGGAGCGAATGGTAGTCCAAGGCGCGAATATTCCAGGAGGCTTGCAGAAACGTAATCCCTTTATTCTTATAAAACTTTCCATAATCTTTTCCAATAAAATAAAGGTTTGCTCAAGGTGCCTTTGTTAAGAATTCGTAAGCGAGTTATAAGTCGAAGGGCGATACAAATAAAAAATAAATTTGTTAAGCTGAGCTTTATACGTTCTTAAATTACATAAATGTTAAACTAAAATTACTCTACTGGTACTGGAATAACTATAAATACGTTCACATAATGCTTGCATATAATCCATGAACGTCACAATATCAAACATTTAAGTCAAGAGAATTTGTCACTTTTATAAAATCAGAACTAATTAAGTAATGTAAATCGGTTCAAGATTTAGTCGTTGTCTGTTGAACGTAACACAACGTTTTAAGGAAAAGTTTAAATGACGCGTCCCCAGGTGGTGGAGGCGAATGAGCGTAAGTGACGCATAGGTTAATTCGAGGGATAAGGATACCCGTTGCTTATGAAACAGCGACTGATAGCAACCAAAGACAGCATCGCAGACCAGCTACCCTGCCCGGCTGTCGTATCGTGGCCAAAGGCTTGCCCGGAGTTAAACGGTGTCGACATGTTCGATGTTGTACGTCAACCACGCCGATATACCTGGAGAGTTCAGGATGGCGCGGGGCTTTACCGCCCGGGCAAAGAGGAGACAACCTCAGCAAATAAACTAAATCCTAATGGTCAGAGGGTCGGACTGAGAGAATGCTGCTGAATAGAGGATTAGCAACTACCGATCCCAAACTCGGTACACCGGGCACCACTCCGTTGTACTAAACACCAATTACACGTGTGCAGGGGAACCGCGCGTCCCCCACACTCGTGGGACTCATATGGATAAGGAAAACCCAACACACTACTCCCGGAGCACCTGGTACTGGACAACCTAAAAGCTCTCTGAGACAGCGCACCGGAAGCTAAAAAAGGTGAGGCTGGAACCAAGGGCCTCTAGGAAACCTGACCTCCCATCTACTGAACCTCTCTAAACGACCAGGTTAAGGCACCTACCGAGACTGGGACGCAAAAGCGACACCTGCCTGATGGCAGCACTCCCCAGGGCAGTAGCTCGAAAACGGCAAAAATTGGGACCGTAAACGAAATATAGGGAACGCTGTCGGAAAAGAAGACAGGGCGAACCAAAGCCTGTATCCTTAACAGAGTCGACGCTTTGTCCATTGGAGCGGTTTCGGCCAAAGTCACGGAGTGTCGCCACCGAGGGGGAGCATGCACAGGGCAGGTATCGGTGGACAGGTTGAGGTCGGAGCTAGCGAGAGCATCTCCGTGGGAGGGAAGGAGGGAAGCGAAGAGCCTCCTAAAACCAGTATGGGCACACGCGTGGATCCCCGGGGCTCAAGTAGAATCGGAGAAGATCCTGAAAAGAATCATAATCCAAAATGACGGAGTTACAACCGGCAATTGGCGTGTGGAAGACAGGAAGGAGGAGCCCAAGGGACCAAACTTCATGAGACAAGATACAAGATGGGGGTCACTTGCAACTATCGATCCTGCTTGAACTTCATCAGAGCGGCGTTCGTACTCCTCTCCAACACGAAGGGGGAGACAGAGGAGGTGACAAGCATGGAGTGCGAAGAGGCCACAACAGTTGAGGGGGACCACAACTGACTGTGCCAACCACCGCACTTCAGTAGGTAAGCACGGTTTTATTATTTTCCCGTATGGTAAAAATCGTACAAATTAATTTGCATCACATAGGGCGGCATCTGCCCCCTCTGTGCATACATAACGAAACATCATATTGATGTAGCCCTGGAAAAACCTTGGAAGAGCTGATACTAGGTCTGGGACTGAACTCATCACTGAGTCAACCGAAATCAATCCTAAATAGTGCATCTAGCTAGAAATAGCGTTAAGTTACTACCACTATGGAAATTCGTTGCAGACCGGACGGTAGTAATGCTGGCAGTAGAAGGGGAAGGGAGTGAGAGGGGACTTGTTCTCGGGTCCGCGTACCTGTCTTTCGATCAACCTTACCTACCACACATTGTATCAAACGAAGCGGCAGTAGCCGTATATAGAAATCAAAGAAGAACCAACTAGTACCTCTACAGCGAGGACCTAAAGGTCTATCTCGAGTGCCCGTATTACTCGGCGGAACTGGAGGTCATGTAATCAACCCTTCGCATGCCATCAAAGGTGCTTATGAGACAATCTGTCCCACAAAAGAGAGGAGAACCTGAATTAAAGTAGCTGGTGGCACGAGGGACACTCTCGATTGCGGGCACAGGCTAGGAGATTTTTTATAGAGCAAAAACACGAGGGGGTATGGTTCATACCGAACTACATTCACCGAATACAATAACGCTATACGAAAGGCAAAACATAACTCGTGGAGTAGGTACTGCGAGGAAATTAATTAATTCCAGAAGGTGCCAGACTCCAAAAAGCAACAAAGGAGACCTTCGAGCTTTTGCTTCAATCACACTTTGCGTGATCAAAGACCCTCGCTCAAAATAGCGCGGGCGAACCAATTTCTCTGGAAACGCTTCTCAGGGCGAACATAGGAGATTGGGTTTTGGCTCGACAAATAGTGAACCTAATCAAAGTTAGGTGGGCAATGAATACTTTCCGTCCGTATAACTCGGGTGGATGGAATCTTTCCTGCTCTACTACTACAAGGCCTCGACCTGCTAGCATCCACACTATTAACGTTACTAAGTTTTGCCCTGGGATAAATACCTATGGCGTGGAGGGACGGTATTCATACCGACACTTGGGCGAGACCCATAAATCCAAGCCAAGTCAGTTAGGATCCATCAGTCTAACGTCGTTTTTCCTAAAACTAATGGAGGAACTTATTGAGCCCAGTGCAGAGCTTGCGTTGGAATGATGGGGGCCAACGATAACGACCCCGACAACATCTATGGCGACCCTCTTCAACTTACTACACCCGGTAACTCAAAGATGCATACCTGCCTAGAGTCATTGGCGAGAAGGGATCATGAAGGGTGGGGCATTCACTCATCTTTGATGAAATCTCTAAAGATAAAAGCCCCCGTATGATAACTGAGAGAATAACCAAAACAGTTTGTCTTACAAAACTATTTAAGACGATAATCCCCGCTCGATACGACTGGGAGGATAATTCCAATGTGAAGTGTACTGGTCCTAGGTCACTGTCGTTTGAACAAACAGCTGCACTCAATAAGACTGACTGACAACTTATACAGAGGTTGTGGTGACGAATAAGAAACACCACACCACGTTTGCAATGTGAAGCATACACAAAGGCAAGGGAACACCTATTTGCGAATGCAAAAATTAAACTAAAAAGGAAGTAACGAGGATTCGCCCTTGCTTGACTTTGCTTTGTTAAATACACAGGTATTTTTGAAGGGTAGATAATATCGGCGAACACAATAGACCTCGCAGTGCACGAACCGACTGGGACCACCCCCCAGTACTATAGTTATAACAATAATAATAATAAACGATTATTTGTACAAAACCCTGACACGATAACTTTTTGCAAGGTCATTTGATTTCGCAAGGTTAACTCGAATCGAATACGTTTGAAAAAACCACGTTCCTAATTACAGTGCAACAGGAATACTTTCTATACCATCCTCTTGTTGGTGTTCGGCAGTCTTCCTACGCGTTAACAAGTATTATTTACCAATTTGTAGGTCTCATTTCATCTTCTAAAGCTTGCGCGATTATAGCGACATTATTGCTTAGATTTTCTTCTTTGTAAAACTTGAAATGTATAATTTGCAATATATGGTATCGGGGGGGGGGGGGGGGATTAGTGACTTTCATACACCTATGGAAACAATTTTGAAACTCATTTATTTTCATCACATCCTTTAAAATGTTACTAAATCATCCATGAATGTACAATATTATGAAAAAAAAGGAATAGTATTTAAATTAAATATTACAAAAATTAATCTTTGTCTCTCCCTGCATTCTAATGGTAAAACTTAATCATAATCATCTTATCTTTCAATGCCAACTAACCTAATTCATTGGTTACACATGAGTTTCTAAAAGGTCAAAATACGGAATCATTTCCAAAAAAGATCAAATTTAAGGTCTTACTTTATTAAAGGTTTCTTTTACATATTTCACGACTCTCACGTCCTAAGAACTTACACGATTCAGATTGTGGTGTACATTCATTGCTCGCCGCCGTGCAATATGATATAGAAGAGGATGTGGTATCCGGCAATTGAACAATTCACGCATATTCGCAGTCATTCGCGTTATTCCCTCAGAAAACAGCAGACAGTAGCATTTTTGTACAAATAACTCCACTTTTCTGAAAAAAATATTTAATAAACTTAATGCAAAGAATCGAACCCGAGCCGCCCGATCGCAAACCGAGCATCTTCACCACTAGACCATTATGGCACACATTCAATCGTGATGAAACTGAGTTTGCATGCCGGAATAATTGTGGGGCAGAGTCAGTTTTCGA